CCCAAAGCCCCATAGCACACCGGGACAGGAGAGCTAACTGCTATACAGCACCAACAACTTCTCAAACTGCCATTCTGTCAGAAAAAACAGTGTATTGTCCTACAGCACTCTCAATCAGCACAAATAAGTATTGAATTTGTAGTTCTTACAGATAGGCACAGTAGCAGCCCCAGGTTTAACTAGACTGCTTTTTTTATTACAGGACCTGGTTGTCAGTTTAGGAAGTTCCTTTGCATATGTGATGTTAAGACATACACATTAAGACTAAAGTCTTCTTGCTGTACTCAGAGCTGACTTGGATTTGCAGCATTTTTCCTCCCAGAATACGGTTACAGAACAATACTTGTTCACAAGAAAACACTACACTGGAGAAACAGCTGATCCCTAGAGAACTGTTACTCTTTGTGAGAATTTCAGACTTTGCAAGAATGATGTCTGTTTGGAGAATATGCCTTCTGCATTACAGCAAATTATTTATTATAGTAGTGTTGAAAGGTCAGAATCAGAATCTAAAACTTGTTTAACTATACATCATGTAAATATCTACGTTTCCTGTGCTACTTAGTTGGTTTTTTTTAAAAAAAGCTTTCAAGATACTTCAGAAAGCATCAGACAGGATAAAATAAACACCTTCCTGTCACCTCTTTTTAGCTAAGAAATACTACCTTGACATAAACAGTCCTATCTTCTAAAGTAGCTAGTATTAAGGTTAGTTATCATGATTCTCAAGTAAGAATCCAGTTTTCTCTAATGCTACTGCTTATACTAGAGGAGGTTTCCTGTAAACATGCACAAAACCACCTCATTGTTATTCTTCAAGCACTCCTTCGGAGTTATGCTTTGCTATTGCATCAACAAAGCTAAAAGCCATGCACATTCTGCACCCTCAGAAGATGCATCCCATGTTGACTCATTCCGTTTCCCTGTGGTAAGTTTCAGCTATTTAAATCTGTAAGTTGTCTATTGTACTTACATCACAAATGTATGTAAATATTCTTACTCTGTAGTTGTGCTATGCCTTCAACACAGAGCTGAGGGCTCCTAGTTGGTAACATACAAAGCTGTAAGAGTATTGATACGGAGAGATTTGGAAGTTTTAACCCTGAAGAATTTTAAGTAGAAGTATTGCTTGGTTTTAAGTAAATTGTAAATCTTTGCAGCCTCATACCAGTTATTTGATTCCAGAATATATTAATTGTCAAGTTCCCCTTCACAATTGTCATGTCAAATAGGAAGAAGCAAAAGAGGAATTCCTAGAACAGATGAGACATTTTGAGTACCACAGATTTTCAGGTTAAAGATTAGACTTTCATGCCTTCACACTAAGCCACACACGTGGCTTTTATTATTGTAATTTTAGCAACTGCCTAAAAATTAATGAGAGGAATCAAAATGTAGCCTTCCCCTGCCCAGGTTAAATCATAACAAGAACTCTAGTTACTAGTGAAGACAAACTCAGTAATGTCTTCAGGGTATCAGCCAAAGTCAAGCCAAAACTTCCATCCTGACACAGCACTGCAGAACCACGAGTATGTTTAGGAATAGTTGGATGGAACTGTAACTCTCCACAAAGCTTCCAGGATTAACCAATGGCTAGCAACTGCATGAAATCCTGCTCTACTTTTAAGTTCCAGTTCCCAATGCCAGCCTCACAAGAGCAGTCGTCTCTTCCTGAATACAGATCTGAAATGCATACAAATGCATACAAAATTTTCAGCTCTAATGCACTCCTACCAATGGAAAGATGAGTATCATGCTCAGTACCCTGCCTCACAAAATCTGATGATGTAATCAAAGATTACATAAAAAACCCAAACCCACAAAAAAACCCTGTTGTAGGTTACTCAATTAATTTGCATACCTTCCAGTATGCATCTCTAATTTGCAAAGACACTACAATGGTTTTACACTGTACAGCAGTTTACTTTCAGATTTGATACAGTGGGGAAAAAAAAAGGTGATGTTAACTGTGCTGTAAAGGAGGTGGCAAGGAGCATTTTAATTTCATATGAAAATCTGTCAGGACAGTTCTGTCATCATAAACCTAGCTCCTTTCCTTTTTCATAATACCACATACAATGCAATGTGAAAACCTTCCAGTTGAAGAAGATTAATACCGACATTTGAATTTTTCCAATGTATAAGTAATATCAGCTTTAATAACAGCCATACACGTCATCCTTTATGTTGTATGACATCTAGAACAAATTTACAGAACCCTTGCTCTTCCAACAGTTCAACACACCAGTGGAATCAAAAAAGTAGGAATGAAACACACTTACAGGAGCAAAGACAGTCATTAGAACAAGAAAGAGCAGAAGAGAAGGCACTTCGTATACCATGCCTACTGTTTAGGTTAATAGGAAGAGACCGGATAACTGGACTGGAAAATGGCTGCTTCAGCGACCTTTAGTGTGCACAATCCCATCCCTGAAAATGAATCTTAAAACTGGATATGCTCAAAATACTCATCAAGGAAAGAGGGAACAGGCAACTGACAGCCAGTTGAGAGAGAAGCAAAGTCTATGGTAAGACTTACAATTCTGGGCTTTTTAGATCAGTTTGACCTCAATTTGCATCTCCTTATCATTCTGTTCCTTTAATTAGATTAATGTGTCTTTCATGGCACACTATAGGTGTTACAGACTGGCTTCTTTAAACACATTTGAAATGTTAATTAAAAACGCTAACAGCTATGCACAGTATTGAAAAAGTGTAGTACCATGAGATTGATGAAATTCATCTGCAAGAACTATTTAATATAGCAACAGAATCCTGAGCAACTGTCAAATAGCTCTTTTCCGTCAACACTCACTTAACAAAGGCTTTAGATGATCTTTCTCTAGTAAAGACTATTCTTAGCTGTTTAAAAATGACAGTAGAACAGCCTGATCCCCCTCTAATGGGAGAAAAGTCTTGCAGCATCTCGATGGCCTGAAAGTTTAGTTTGATGATAAAAGAAACATAGTTATTTTTAGCACTCTACAGGCATAAAAATACAGCTCTAAACTGTGACCTACAGCTATGCACAGCCAAGCATCACATCATACGACAGCCTTAACTTTAGCTAGAAGCACGTCTGTAGTTGCTTCAGACTATCATTATTCATCTCACTACCAACAATACTTTTGGATGGATTTAGCAGCAAGCATTTGAAATTGTTACCATCTTTTTTTAAATTGCTGCCATCGGCAGAACTCAATTCAAAGGTAGGAGATCTTAATGGACTTTGTAGAAAGTATTTGAGATACCATGTTAGGTTAAATGGATTACTACTCCTCTCTGCTACAGAGGATGAAAAAGAACCTTAAAAGCAGAAAAACTTAAACTGTCATATTCAGTACAGAAAGTCATTTTTCTAAGCACAGTTTGAGTAAATGAAAAAAAAAAAAAAAAAAAAGAAAAACCCTTGTTTTCTTCCAGCAGTAGTAACAGCCTCAAAACAGCGTACGCTAGAATAAGAGACCTTCAAGCAAACTTACCTGAAACAACACTGTTCACAGAGAACTGCAAAGGTAATTTATGTTATTTTATTCTAATTAGTATGCTTGTGCCTGCATGATTTGTAACAAACTGCAATTTAAAAGCCTGTTCCACCAGATTTCTGTTTCCAGGTTAGGTAAACAAGAATTTATTTAAAATAAAAACTGATATACAAGTTTTAAAAACAGAACACAGAGTTCCAGCATTTAACTTTATTTAATCACTTTTTAAATGTACAGGTAACTTCAAATTTTGGAGGTTTGGGGTTTTGTTTGTTTTTATTGTTGTTGCTGTTTTGTTTGGCGGGGGGTCTTGTTTGCTTAGTTTTGGTTTATTTGTGGATTTTTTGGAGCTTTTTTTCTTTGGTTTTTGTTTGGTTTGGGTTTTTTTTAAACCATATATACTATGAGGATAAAAAATTAAATATTTCCAAGATGATAAATATGCACTTTTAAATGCTGTAAAGTTCACATAGTTATGTTAACCCAGAAAACAGACGGAAAATATTAGAAAATGCAAGGCTTGTCAGATTTAATTATGGGTTGGCAATTATTATTACTACTTATATTGTACTGCAAAATATTTTAAGACCATTAATGAAGTTTCCTTTAAACATTCAGTTGCTAATAAGGAAGTCTACAGGTACAGACAACTATTGGTCAGGTAGAAATAAGCAACATTTTTGCTTTTCTTCCTCTCCCCTCACAGCTTAAAAATGCCACTTTTTGGCTGGATGAAATGGTCAAAAAATGATTCCTACAAACCCACAAGATATCCCGGATCAGAAGTAGTTACAAAAACCCTACTGAGGGAATTGAAGTGGCACCTGAAAGAGCGCGAAAGATTACTGCAAGAGATTGAAAATGAACAAAAAGTCCAGAAGACTGGCATGGATTACAACTGGCTGAAGAACTGCCAAAACCCTCAAGCAACAATTCCAGCTACCGAGCAACGACAGCTCGAAGTTCTATGTTCACAAATCCAGCCTTGCCAAACGGGAACTGTTCTCAGCAGGTAATTGTTTCTTATTTCTCTAACTTTGAGTACTCTGCCATAAGTAAGATGTTTCTTCTGCCTAGTCCAAGCCTACATTTGGCTCTGATCTTTCTTCCAAAGTAACAATGAGCAGCAAGTGGAACACATTTTTACAGGTGTTTTCGAAATCACATCTTTATCTTAACATGTTGTACTTGAAGGAAGTTTTTAATCAGGATTTTCCTGGTCTGATCCGAAACAAGGGAAGCTCACATGCTTAAACACGTGACATCTCAATACTTTCATTTTTTCCTCCGTTATTTATCCCTAATATTTATTAAACAGTAACCAAATAACCAAAAATCAAATTAAAGGACTAATGCAATGCACTGTTATGCAGAACCTAGCTTCATTGTCCAAAATACCCAAAAGCTTCTAAAACTAGCAAATCAGTGTAAAAAGAAAAATAAAACATTTTTAAAAAACAAATCAATCCTCCCATATTTTATAAAGAAAAAAAATCTCCTATGCCTGAAATGTAAATACATTTTCTAGGGACACATAGAAGTGACAGAACAAGCCTACTTGCCTTTTAAAGCCCAGAATACACCTAAGGGCAAAGTCAGCTTAAATCAAGTTACCCAGATCCGTGCCCCCTCCCCCCCACCCCCAAGAAAAAAAAAAACAAAACAAAACACACCACACAAAAACCAGCATACCTAATAACAATAGTTTTCAATCCTTATAATAGCTGGACCACATCCAGTGCATTGTTAGAGCTCTTTTCCTCTTACAATCTTCTGGGGGATGTGTGTGGGGAAATGTGGCAGCAAGGAATAAATGACATCAGAAGGCAGTCATTTCCTTCTCCTTCCCCTCTCCTCAAAAGACCAGAGAGGAAACAGAAGACTTTTCAACACTGATGATTAGATTCAGATTTCAATTTTTGTTTGTTCTTAGATTTCGTGAAGTTTTGGCAGAAAATGATGTTTTACCCTGGGAAATAGTCTACATATTCAAGCAAGTTTTAAAAGATTTTCTTACCACCATTGAGAGAGAAAACCAACAAGACCAACTGGTAGATGCATGGAATACAAATTGCTCTGAACATTTCAGCCTGCGTGGAGACGGTTCCAACAAATCGGACAAAGATGAAATCCCCACAGTTTCAAGTTATGTCGACAAAAACACACAAAGCATGTTTCCCACCTTCTCTCATAGAATCTGGAATCTACCCTACTACTATCCATCAAGTTAAGCTGGTTTGTGTCTTTCAAAAAGTTATGTAGCCATTTGCTTTCCTTTCTTGTGATTGCCATCCACAAACATAGGAGTAAGAAATATGACATGCTCCCCTTTTCTCCAAGTTTAGAAATTAAAATCCTTGATTATAGCTAGTATGCAGTAAACAAACTTTAAATATGAATTCTCCTTTTATCTTCACAGTTCCTTAAAGATGTTGTGTTTGAAGGCACCTTTTAACCAAAAATGTAGATGTTTCTAAAAAAAACCAAACACCTCTGAAGCATTTTATTTTTTAGCCATAAACAGCTAGATGCATTTAAACAAGAAAAGACTGCTTTCCATATTTTGAAATAGCATCAATCCACAAAGTGTTAGGCAAAAAACTGCTGTATTTGTCACATAGCTTTTAGGCTCTATGGGAACTTCATACTGTGCAAGATAAATGGCTTAATACAGTATCAGTTATACCAAATAAACTGCTAAATACTTTTTGGACCTGAATAGTTCGTTCTTAACTTCAAGAATAAGTTCTAAAATGAAAACAATGTCAGAAGTAATAATATGCTGCATGTACTGTTTCTATATTTTCCAAAATGTACCCTGCAAATGCTGAAGTACTGAGAAGGTAGACAACTAAATGAAAACATCGGACATTTAACAGCATTTAACAACTAGCTCTCTATTCTTCAAGAAATTAACCAATTATTTTATTTTAAATAGTTGTACTTCTTCATTTGATTTATTGGAAGCTATCCTGAAACCCAGGCTCTGCATTAAATTTAAATTTTTTGATCAAATCAGACAGTGCTTTTCTAGAATAGCAAAAGAGTCAACAGATCATTTCCAAAGCAAGAGGTGATAATTTTAAATTATAATATAACAAAATTTCATGTTTTTCAGTCACCATCATCTATCACTGTGGGTTCATAATAAAAAGTTTTACAAGACTGATTGTATACGTAGCAGTTATGGTCACAGCAGACAATTAGAGCAGAAAATCAATGAAAACATATGCCAGAACTCAGTTTGCTACATTTCCAATTGGGCTCCCATCACTGTATATAACAAATTTTTATATGTCTTATGTAACCTCTTCATCTCCAGATTTCCTTTTAATCTGTCTGCCACATCATAAAAAATGAGCAAGACTCACATGGCCCAATTCACAAAATGCACAATTTTGCAAACCCGGTGGAAAACTGCTTCCTCTGATACTTTCTTCAAAGACACTGAAGAATACATTTGGATTTCCTCAAGTTGGCAACATATAACTGAAGAGATTTCCTTATCCTCCACAGTTGCATTCCCCACCCAAGAAAGAATTCACTAATAATGCAACATAAGTTGGGTGAAACAAATTGCATACTATTTTCATAAAAGAAAAAAATACTGTTTTAAAAATTCTTTGGAAAGCTTATAAACTAGAGAACATTTCATGCAGAAGAGTGGAACATAATATACACAGAAGGTGAAACAATCAGAACTCTTGCATACACTTAACTGACAAAGCAAAAGAGGACTAGAGTCAATCAGCTCCTACAGGTTTAGGATAATAAAAAATTGCAGCTCAATACCAAAAGGAACAGGTCCCTCCATTTTCCATAAACTAAATACACAAAACTACACAAGCATGTGCAAACTTATTATATCTGCACTCAGAGCTGGTATAAACTCTTTGCTCTCCTTTTGTGCAGTTGTCAGTTTGTGGATAAATAAAAAAAAGTGTTGATCTCAACTTACTCTGCCCTACTGATGCAGAATAAAGAGTAACAGATTCTTTTCATGCAGTTCTAAACAATCCAGACATGGATCCCTGCACAAGGGCAGGAATGGTTTGAAAGAAATGCCTTCCTCAGTGATAAAGCTCCCCAGAGTTAAACTTCAAGTACCCCTTCCATAGGAAAGAGGGGAACAGGTATTGAGCATAAAGGCATTAGCAGAATTAATATTACATTGAGAATTAACATCCGCAATGCTGGTTTCAGAAAATAATTTTTATTTTGTCAAATGTGCAAGATTCCTGCAATGGCAATTCACATAAATTAATTTTTTAAAACGGTACTCTCAACAGTTTTCTATTGGAAAATAAGTGGAAAAAGCTCTAAAAATTTAGCTTCTGAATTCTACTTTATGGAAATAAACGGTAGGCCAGTAAACACGCAAGGTCTGCTTACCTTTATGATCATCAAGAACAGGTAAGAAACAAAAAAAAGCTCCACTCAAAAGATAACCCTACAAGATGACCACAGATACAACTTACCCATTCTTCATAACTTTCAATTCAATATAAGCAAATGCAGTCTTTAAGTCCAGAAACAAGGACCATTAACGACAATATATGCTAAAAGGTAGCTGCTGAATAATATTTTTTTTTTTTTAAAAAAAGTCTATCTAGGCATCATAACCAATTCAATGTTTAATCCCAATTAATGCTAAGGAAATGCACAAAAAGGCTTAGCTACTTTTACATGCATGTTTTATTGATGAAACTGATACTAGGCTACTGCATCCAGTCCTAGTGTTCATACTTGGGGGGGAAAGGAGAGGGGAAAAAACAAACTGGGAACTGGAGTATGTACAGGAAAAAAAAATTATCCCAAAGGCTGAGAAAATGCTATCCGCTTAGACCTCACTTTGTCCATTTTTTCAAATACAGAAATGAGAAGTAATTTCATGGAATACAAGCACTTGCCTCTCATGAAAGTATTATGTACTCTCTAGTTAAAAAGTAAAGCAAAGCAAAGCATAGATAAAGCAAAGGCTAAACATATTTTAAAGAAAGCTGCTAGGTTTACCACAACACACTACAAAAAGAATCTGTATCCCAGTCCACCAGCTAAGATGAGTTATTTTCTGTAATTTAGCTTACACTTATGATTTCAGCTGTATCAGATAGCAGTAACATGGCTGTAGGCCAGTCATTATTGCCCTGCTGAAGATCACTGTCTGATAACTCAACTGTTTCTTTAAGCACTTTTTATTTATGGCCTACATGATTCGTATGAGGTGATCTGAAACTACATTGTCCTTTACACTAATCCAGTTGATATTTCTCACATAGGCAGGCAGCTGACACAAACCACTCTGATGACAGAAAGGAAAGTGGTAATAATTTCAAAGGGCAGCAATGTTTCCCACCTGCACACGTCAGCCAGAACAAACAGCATGTAATGTTTTTAGCCAAATAAGCTGGATATAAAAAAGGGCTAACTTGGTGAAATCTACACCTATGAAATGCAAAAAAATCTAAGAGAGAATAAACAACTTTTCCACACTTAAGCCTTCAAGTGTTTTAACGTGAACCACAATTGTTTTGATAACAAGGAAGGACTTAAGGGTTTAAATTTCTTTTCATTCAGTTAAACATTATCAGAGGAATTAAAAAGTTAATCAGTGAGCTATTTAAGGACCAAAATTCCAGCCACAATTTCTGAGAACTATTAGCTTTCCCTAACAAGCTCAATTACTAATACTGCTATACTAGAGACAGTTCAGGTAACAAGATAATCTAAAAACCCTTGGAAAATGAGGCATCATTGGTAAAGGAAGAGAACACATTCTACACCTCTTTTTAAAGGAGATATGAAGCTTTTAGATCCCATTAGACAGTCTCAGCAACATTTGTGTGAAATCTTAGGTATTACACACCCTTGTGTGCAATAACACACTTGTTATTACTGTTACCTATTTGATATTAATCCTCCACATTCTTACAGATAAATTTAGACACAAGAAGTAGGAAGACAGTCTCCATCAATATCGTATATCCAGCTTGAAATAAATATAAATGAGCATTTGAAAATTTTGAAATCATTTTGGTTTTGATTTTCCCAAGAAAAAAAACCCAAGAGTTTTGAAGGAAATACTAAAATAGACTATTATGCTACAAGCAGTCTTGACAAAAGGAGAAAAATTCTTTCGTTTTCAGCTCTTCAAACTCTTAAGAAGCCAGTGGATAAAATCTAAGCATTTCCTACTTGAATCTAAACCTTCAAGAATCTTCAAGTTTTGCAAAAACTCTCAAATGTAAGCACATTTCCAGAACCGTGAAACACAAGTGTATATGGAAACAAAACAGGGCTAAGCAAACACACCTTCTTATGGAGGTTCTTTTCATTTTGCAGCAGCACATAGATGCAGCTATCATCTATGATACACGTCTAATGATGATAAATTCTGTCCACACTTACATAAATGGCTATTTAGGATGTATATCCCTTCTCTATCCCGTTCTCAGACATGAAAGAAAAAAAGAAAAAAAACTACCTGTAAAAATAACTTCTCTCTGTTAACACAACTGTCAAACCCCACAATTAGGTTATCTACTATGGCTTTTGAGTGGAAAAATATATCTGTTTAACCAAAGATAAAGATTTGCCTCTTCCTAGGCACACAAGGCTTGACAAATCTTGCTTATTTCTCCCATGTTACTTAGTAGATTTCGGTGGCTTAGTGCTCAGTTACCCTCAAGAATCTTGTATCAAACCCTTCCCAAGTACTACAGAAATGTTATTGGCACCTAAATAAAGACCAAGAAGTCCCAGACATCTCACACATACTGGGTTTAGGAATTACATTCACAGTAAATAACCTTAAAAAAAAAAACAACTATAAAATTCTGTCTGGTCACTACTTCATAAAAAACAGTAGCTCTCAGTCAGAGATTGAGAGCTTGCTAATGGCAGCACTTTTACATTAAAGGATGACTGGGAATAGATATTTTGATGTGCCAGTTTTGTCCTTTCCTTGAAGCAAAGACAGAAATCGATAGCCTGAACAGTCTCTGCTGAACTGTCACAATATCTGCTGTTAAGATGTTAGGCAAAAGGTTCGTTCTTTCTCAGAAGCCAACATATACCCTTTAAGAGAGTTCCTGAAACACAGCGACCCATGCTACTATACATCATACAGGAAAAAGAAGACACTCACTCTAGACTGTACTTCCAGCTAATTTTGAAAGAGACTTTAGTATATGAAAGTGCATACAAAACACTTTTCTATACGACCATGGAT